AAATGGAAGCTTTTATCAGTGCAACCATTCAGCATCCTCAGTGTACCTCTATTTAAAAGCTGCATGCTGTAGGTGTTCTGTGGGTGTCTGGACAAAGTCAAAGTTATCTAATCCTTGTTATTTTTATACACTCAGTCATTACTCATTTATTTTGATTTGGATTTGCCAGACTGATTGCACATAGAAATGCATTTAGAAGAACAGACTGAATGCAGAAATCTGGCTTTACCGGTGCAGCAGGCTTCCTTTTCAAAATTAGGTGCATGAAGGAAAATATACACGTGCATGCAAATGTATTAACTATATTCACAGTGGTGTCTTCCATGTCACAGCTCTGACCTTTTTGCTGCACAGCAATATGAAGTGATAATAGCTGGTATGGATTAATCAATCACCTCTCTCCTCAGGGAACAGTGCTGCTTCCAGTCACAAGCACACTTGGATGAAAAGCATGTTTGTCTTCTCCCTCAAAGACCAAACCAATAAAAGGACTTTTTTTTTTTTTTTTGTAAGAGGGAGGAGGTGTAAAGCGTAGGAAAGCTGTGTGAGCCAAGAGATCGGGGACAAGGTGAGGGTCTTCCTGTGCTTGATGGAAGCAGATGAGACAGCTCTCTCGCTGCCTTTAACAAGATACAGAGGTGTCTGAGGGGAGAATTTTAGCATGCAGGGCCAGACACAGCCTCGAAGTGGGATGTGGCAGCATCACTCATCAGCAGCCTGTAGTAAGGGTACACATACCCAGAAGGTAAAGTCAGAGAGCATCTGTCTCCAGGTGCTAAGGTATATTTGCTAAATTCACAACCTATGATAATTTGAGAGAACTTGTTAGTGTGTTCATATTCTGAGGTAGGCTCTGACCCTCTTCACAAAATCACATTGTTGCTGAGGCTGGGTGACACCTCTGGAGGTTGTCCTAATCCAACCCCCTGTGCTCAGAGCAGTGTCAACTAGAGCAGGTTGCTCATAACTGTGTCCAGTTGGGCTTCAGGTATCTCCAAGGATGAAGACTCCACAACCACTCTGGGAAACCTGTTCCAGTGTTAAATCATTCATAGATTAAAAAAATTTCTTCTTATGTTTGAATGGAATTTCCTGTATTTTAGTTTGTGCCTATTGCCTATGTCCTTTTCCTGGGCACCGCTGAGAAAGTCTGGCTCCATCTTCTTTAGTTCCACTATCAGGTAGTGATAGACATTAATAAGGTACACCTGAGCCTTCTCTTGTCTGGGCTGAACAGTCCCAGTCTCAGCTGCTTCTCTTATGACAGATGCTCCAGTCAGCACTAATTATTTTCATGGTCCTTTTCTACACTCACTCTAGTATGTCCATGTCTCTCCTACTGGGGAGCCCAGCGCTGGACCCAGCACTCCAGCTATGTCTCACCAGTGCTGAGTAGAGAGGAAGGATCACCTCCCCCGGACCTGCTGGTGATGCAGTTCCTAATGCAGACAGGGATAGTGCTGGCTTTTTTGTCACAGCTGCTGGCTCATGTTTAACCTGCTGCCCACCAGGACCCCCAGGTCCTTCTCTGTAAAGCTTCTTTCCAGCTGGTCAATCCCCAGCCTTTTGTGGGCCATGGGATTATTCCTCCCCATGTGCTGAACTTCTTGAAATTCCTGTGGGCCATTTCTCCAGCCCAGGTCCCTCTGAATGATAACACAGTCCTCTGGTGTTTTAGCCACTGCTCCTGGTTTTATACAATCTATAAGCTTGTGGACAGTGCACTCTACCCATCATCCAGTGCAGTAATTAAGATGTTAGATGATACTGTCCCTAGTATTGACCTCTGGGGTAGACCACTATTGAGTGGTCTTCAGCTGGACTTCATGTCACTGATCACACCATGATGCCAGCAGTTCTGTCAGCTTTCAGTTCACCTCACTGTCCATTTATTTATCCTGTACTTCATCAACTTGTCTGCAAGAATATTATGAGAGACTGCCAAAGGCCTTGCTGAAGTGAAGATAAACAACATCCAGAAGCAGATAAGTGAGAAGCTCCACTCATCCACCAAGCCAGTCACATGCTTGTAGAAGGCTAACAGGTTCATCAGACATGACCATTTACCCCTTTGTAAATTCATGTTGACTACTGCCCATCACCTTCCTGTCCTTGATATGTTCAGAAATGGTTTCCAAGATTATTTGCTCCATTACCTTCCCACCAGCATGTAGTTCTCTGGATCCTCTTTTTTGACATTCCTGAAGAGGGGAGTGACATTTGCTTTCAAGTCCTCAAAATCTTCCCTGAACACCATGACCTTCCAAAGATAACTGAGAGTGGCTTTGCATTGGCATCACTGAGCCTCCTCTGTACTTATGGGTACATTCCATCAGGTCCTATGGACTTGTATATCTCCGGTCTGTTTAAACATTCCCCAACTTGATCCTCCTTCAGCAAGGCTAAGTATTTCTTGACCCAGATTTTCCCATTGGTCTCCATTGAAGACCACGACAAAGAAGGCACCTTGGCCTTTACCATGTTTTTTGTCACCAGATCACCTGCCTCATTCAGTAGTGTGCCCATATTTTTTCTAATCTCTCTTTTGGTGCTAATACACCCATAGAAGCCCTTTGTGTTACCTTTAGCAACCCTTGCTGGATTGAATTGCAGGTGAGCTTTGGTCTTCCTAATCTCATCCCTGCATGCTCATATGATTTCTCTACTTTCCTCCCTGGAGACTTGCTCCTGACTGCAATTGTTGTACACTTCCTTTTTATGTCTGAGTTATATCAGGAGCTCCTTGTTCATCCACAGAGGCCTCCTGCTGCCTTTGCTTGAGTTCCTGCTAGTTGGGATGAACTGTTCTTAAGTTTGAAGGAGATGATCCCTGAATATCAACCATCTCTCCTGGACCTCACTGCTCTGCAGGACTGTATCCCATGGGATTCTTCCAAGCAAATCACTGACTAGGCAAAAGTTTTCTTTCCTGTTGGGATCCTGCTTCTCTCCCTGCTCCCTTCTCTTTAGAGTCTGTACCCCACCATCTCATTATTAGAGGCAAGACTGCCCCTGACCTTCACATCCATGATCAATCCTTCCTTCTTTTTAAGTATGTGGTCCAGCAGAGCTCCTCTTCTTGTCAGCTCCTTGATCACTCATGTTAGGAAGTGGTTATTAATGCACTCCAGAACCTTCCTGGATTACTTGTGCCCTGCTGTGTTGTCCCTCCAGCACATTGCGCCTGCCTTAAATACTGGGGTAAAGTTCTTTACTACTTTGAAGTAATAAAGTAGTTAAAGTACTGTGTGAGCACCAGGGCCTGTGAGTGCAAGGCTTGTTCCTGTTGTCTAAAGAAGCCTCATCTACTTTTTCAGGACCAGGCAGTCTAATAGCAGACACCTACCACAATGTTACCCATCTTGGTCATGGTTTACTCTATGGTTTACTCTACGGAAGAAGGGCAGCACAGCCTTTGGCTGATACTATGCTTTCTGTGCTAGTAGAGAAACTACAGTCCTGTTAGTCCTCCCAACCAGATCAGTCCCTGGAATGGAAGGCTAATGCTTTCCCAGGCCTATAGAAGAATGTTCATGACATGGCATGCTGTTTGTGTGGTATTTGCTTTTCCCCTAGAGAAAAAGAGTTACTGAAGCATTTTTTCTTACACTTGTGTAATATAAATAAATATTTTTGGATGCAGGAAGCTAACCTTTTCCTAACCCTTGGGAGTTGGTGTCCAAACTTCCTTGGGTTTGCCAGAGTAATCAGAAAAGCAAACAAGCTGATGCATGAGCTAAACTCATTGACTGCATTCCTGCTTAGCTCTGCACTTTAACTGATTATGTATTTTGGGTCAGCAGATTTATAGAGTTCACACTTCATTATCCAACAGGCATAAGAAACTCAGAAGTGATCTAAGTAGTACAGATCTTTCTGCAGTTTCTGGTTTATTCCTGGATGGGTCATAAAGCTTTAAAATGCAGTGAAAGTTAATCAACACAGATTTCTGCTAACAACTTAAGTTGTCCTTTGCTTGTAAGTTAGCATGGAAAAAGGAGATGACGGGTAGTTGGTTTCCATCTTCTCTCTTGGAAGTGGCCTGACTGACCCCCCACAGTTGGGGACCACTTCAATGCTTTTGAAGGCACAGATCAGGACTAGATAAGTGACAGAAAGATGAAAAATACTTTTCTTTTGCCAACATAAGTCATTCCCACGCTTTGCTTTGGGATAGACATCTGATCACAGATGATTTTTCTTCAGTCATCAAATTCTCCCTAGGCAAATGTGGTCTGGTCCTGAAACTGAAACTGTACCCTCTAGGCTTCAAAGTGGCCATTTGCCAAGTTCAGAAACACACATCTTCCATCTGGCCAAAGATTTTTCATTGTGTTCTTCTTTTATATCAGTTTAAATTTGTGGGAACTGTTACAAGCAAAATATAAGCAGTGAATGCATCTTTTGCAATAAACATAAACAGAAACTAAGGCAAAACCAAACAGTGCCAATTACTTTCCCTTTATGCCTTCATTTCTTCATTATGCTTTGATTTGCTTTTGGGGTTTGAAGTGTGGGTAGTAAGTGGAATGCTTAAAGTATTAGCTATTTTACTTTGTTTTCACAATGGACATTGTTGAAATATTTTAAAAAGAAAATCCCGTATCTTGAAGACAAATAGCAAAGTAATTCTTTGTGCTAGGTAAGAAACTGTACCACGAAAAAGAGTGACTGGACCATTCTCATAGAAACTGTTATTTGACATCAAGCAAGAAAGTGATTAAATGCCAGGGGTGATGTCTTCTTAGAAGAGGCAACTGGTACAGAGAAAATTAAATGACACTCATAGTTTAGTGGTGGAGTGAGAAAGGAAAATGTAACCCTGAGGAGAACCATTCTAGAAAGAAAGCCAAAACAGGGGTGTGTGAGCCACTTACCCAAGTGTCTGCATTGGCTTCAGCTCCACATTGCTGTAAGCATCTGGCATGGGGATGTGGGACGTGGTGCCTTCATGCTTCCTCCAGACTGAGTACTTTTTTGGCTGTTTTTTCTTTTTGCAGGAACCCCGACCTTTGTATAACAAAAGGTGCCAGTTTTATTCAAGTGGAATAGGATTCCTGTATGATGCCTACCAGACAGAGGTAAACAAACTCACCTCATCGTATGTTCATTTCTCCTGTGCTTTGAGGGGCTGGGGAGGAGGGAGGCAGGTGTTTGAGAGCGTGTCTCTGCATGTAGGTGATGGGTTGATAGAAACCCAACTGATTTTTCTTGCACAAGTGACTCCTCGCAGCCTCTGGTGATTGCAAATCATTACAACTAGTGAGGTTTTGAGTCATCATCAGTGTCTCTATCCAGTACATTACTCTGGGTCTGGAATGATTCCTAGACCATCCATGCTGTATAATAGCTGTCTGGAATGTATTTGTCACATTGGCCTCCTTCTCTAAAGAGGTTTTTGTAGACTTCAAGTGACATAGGAAATATCTAAATGAATCCATTTGCATTGCCCAGAAGACTTCAAATCTTCTCTGTATTTATCCAGCACACGCCAAGAATGTCAGTGGTTTGAATGCAGCTTTTTTATTATTTCAATGACATTAACATGGTCGGAAAAGTGCCCATACCCAGATGGCTAGCCTCCTGAGAAGTTCAGATTTAGTTTCTTTTCCTATTTTTCATTTTATTATTGTGGTAAATTTGTGGGAGTGAGAAGAAAATCAAGGAGAGCAGGGTTGAGAACAGCTAAACAGTGGTATAACTTACAAGAAGCCAGATGTCCTTCATCACCATTCCTCCCATGGTTAAGAAAAGGTGTATGGAGAATGTTACTATTAACAATTCTAGACAGTTTAGCAAAGTGTATTGCCAGGTTAAGCAGTTAATGCATCTTAAATCTTGCTGCTAGGGCACTCCATTGTTGATTCCAGAAAATGTATGGCAAAAATATTTCATTGACCTCCTTGCATAAAGACCTGCCCAGACAAACATATGATCTGTGAAAACACCCTTTCCTGTAAGTTTTACTCCATCCTGTTCTAAAGTGTGCATGCACACTCAGACACAGACATGACCTGAGAAATGCTTCTGATTCCTGTAATAAGCGTGTAGCTGGCATCACACTGACCACAAGACCCTGCAGGTGACCCCAGCCTCAGGCTTCTGGCCAGACAGGTTTCCCCAACTCTGCAGATTCTGGGAAAGTCTAAAGTTGGGCCACCCACAGCTCCTTGCTCCATTCTGGCAAAACCCCTCTATGTTTTAAAAGTGTAGTTAGTTTGGAATAACATTCTTGTCTGGTTGTCCACTGATCTAAAGTCAGCATGTGCTAATTCAGAGTTAATGATCTGTGGCATCTGAACTTGGCTTTTGCTTTTCCAGAGTTAGCCAGCTAGTGAGCAGGGGACATGCTCTGCATGCCAGGTGAACACCTAAATAGGAAGGCAGATTATTTACTTACTGAGTGCGAGTTTCCTTTTGATTGCCATCTCTAGCCTGTGAGTGGTCTCCAGCTCATGTAGTTTGCCTGTTTCAGTTTTTCTCTTTGCTCAAAGCAGAAAGAATTTTATTTTCTTGCAATTACCAAGAGGTGAGAACATCTCATCTAGACAAGCACAAGCAGCCAGAACATGAAAAAGCTAAATGTCTGGTCACTGGAATGAAATAATAGATCTTGACATGCAGAATAGCCACAAATGGCCTGTTTCCACCACCTTTGCTCACACCACACAGTAATTTGTTTATTTTCATTTATTCACTGTTCTCTTAGAAAGGAGTGTCTTGCTCTTTGCGTGTTTTAAAAATGCAGTGATAAAAATAGACAACTACAGTAACTCTCTTGGCCAATAATGTAATAAGTCTTGTAGCCTAGAAGCAGCTAAAAACATGTTCAAGATTTTGCGTCTCCCTCTTTTGTACTTCTAGCCTTCTAAAGTAATAAGGAGTAAACTGGTATTATTGATGCTTGAAGAGGTGAAAAATACTTTTATTTCCTATTTCAGAGGTGATCCCCAAAGCCAAGCATCAGAACAAACCACCTCTTTAGCTCTCTGGTCTTTAGCATGTGTAATAGGAAAAGGGTATTTTAACTATGTAGGTCCTAGCTGTTTTGACTGCATACAGGGGGTCAAAACCAAAGTCTTAAGTTCCAGTCAGTGCAAATGGCATCCCAACAAAAGGGCTGTGGTAGCAGATGCACTGTCACACTCCGCTCCAGGATTAGTTTTCAAACTCCTTTGGGAAGTATCCAGGTGTGATGTTTTGGTCACTTCTGAGCTGGATCTTGATTAAGCCAACGCAGCTGTTGACAGTAGTGCACTCTGCAGTAAATCGCAGCCCAGGCTGAGGACAGCTGCAGCTGAATGTGACTTCAGGTCAACAGGGCCCCTCCATGAAATTCCAGTGAGTTTAGACACAACAGAACAAGACTGATGAAATGAGGTCCTATCTCAGTATGGGATACTCTTGTGACAAGTGGGATGTGTCTGTATCAAGCTGTGAGCTCCATTTCCAGATTGCAACATCGACTGAGACCATGTTTTTGTAATCTAATTTCCATTTTGGGTTAGAAGAGCTGATTTATATGAGACACTAACCATAGGTACAGCATTCTCCTGGGCAGCAAAGCAATCCCAAGGCTTCATTTTAACTCCCTTTTAACTTTAGCTTTGTCACTGAACTTCCACTGCTCAAGCAAATCCTGCTAAGGACAAGTGTGACAAGTGTGAGACCAGCTACAAGATGAACTTTCTCTGGTTCTGTGTATATTTAAGTCTTTCCCTTTTGCTGGGAACAAACAAATGAGTTGTACAGACCCATCAACAGTGACAGTTTTCACACTAAAAAGGCTGCACAAATCCAGAACTAGGAGCTGAGAAATACCTGGTTTAACATCTCCTGTGGAGACTATCCCACAAACTAATACATTCATGGCTAAGCAGAATTGTCTGATGGAAGCTTTTCAAAAGCAGGCATGTATTCCTAAGCATGCTCCTTCTACTTTTTCATCATGAGGAATTTTCCATTCAATAATGTATTTTATTTGCATTTTGAAAACAAAATACTTCTCAGTGGTTACAGTATTTTTTTTTTATAGCAAAACAAAAAATATAGAAAGAATGTATTTTCTGACCTGCTAGCTTTTCAAACCTGAGAGTTCTCCAGGATTTCAAAGTCATTAAGCTAAAAATCTCAGGAAAAAAAAGCCTTACATATGAAATATTTCCATTGGTCTGTAGAGCCAAATAGAAGTGATTAATGCTTACCCCACCTGAGTTGTTAAAATGATTTCTTGTCTGGATGGAGAGTGGCTTATGTGTGCCTATCTTTATAGTTCTAACATCTGTCCATCCCTACAATTCCTGCTTACATAAATAAACCTCTTCAGTTTTCTATTCAAGAGCCTGCAGTAAATGGTACTTATTTGCTGGAGTGCTTGGATCTTTTCTGAGTGGTTTTGTCTGTGGGTTTGGAGATTGTTCTTCTTGTTGTTCCTAATTATTTCTTTCTTCAGGAGGGCATTACTGAAAGGAAAGATCTCCCATTTATTGGAAGCTGTTCAGATAAATTGGCTTCTTTGCCCACTTCCCCACTGTAATGGAGTAGTATTCTTATCCACTTGCTGTGGGGTGCCTCTCAAGATCCATGGTGTCTGTGTCACAGCTGTAGGGATCTACATCTCACAGCTCTAGACTCTGGGTCTCAGCACAGTAGCACCATGCAGTGCAGCAAAATGCTTGAAAACTCCGGCGGCCCCAGCTGCAGGTTGGTGCTGTGGGCCTGGGCTCCATTAGTGTAAATGCCCCAAATGACTCAGGGATGTCCTTCTGCACTGCAGTCATGGATTTGGAAATCTCAGGATCTTTCTGCACAATAGTAAATAAAACCTGATGCTACAGTAGCTGCTTCTTTGGGGTCAGTAGGATGATTCACATATTGCAATGAAATGCTGAGAATAAAAGTCAGTCTTTTCTTTTTTGGCAGGTCACATGTTATACCTTAAACAGCAAGTGCCAGCTGAAAGTAAAGAGTAACACATGCTATTGCTGTGACCTGTACAACTGTGAGAAGTAAGTACCTGTGTGCAATGGCCTCTGAGAGATCTTTGGTTGTTTGTCCCTCTTCTTAAATGATGGGGTTGGGGGGGTGCCCTTAGGCCTGGAGAAGCAACACAAGGGGCTTGTATGCTGAGCAATCCAGTTCCTCTGCAACTGAAGTCCTGATGCCAGCAGAGGTCAGGGGTTGCATATTAGTATTGGCATTATTTCAGTTTCTATTTCTTCAAATATGTACACAACCGCTTTGCTGTGTGATCAGAATTGACCACTCAGTCATTGCCCTGTCAAGATTTACTGTTGATCTTGCAATGCAATTTTCCCACTAGATTTAATGACTCTTTTTTTTTTTTTTTTTTTTTTTTTTTTTTTTCCCTATCAAACCAGGGCAAACAAAATGAATAAGAACATAGGTGCCCTTGAGCAGAGATCATGTTGTAGGCATATACAGAGCTCTTTTGTTAGCAACAGCCTCTGTAGGCATGGGATTTTGCTAAATTGTCATAGGATAGATACAGAGAGTCTTGTGTTTTCTGAAGCTGTCCATTTGACTGCATCAATACATGATGAGGCATGAGATGTCAGAAGATAAAGAGAGGGAATGTCTGTATATGCTTGTGAAGATCACCTGAAGATTAACACAGGGTTGCCATCCAGCTGTTTACCAGGAGTAAGAAAGGTAGTTAGGAAAACTACATCACAGAAAAGTCCAAGGGTTTATAATGTGGAAGACAGATTAAATGAACTTGAACAACTGACGGGCCACCTGGCACATAGATTTCAGCCGCAAGTAGCATCATGTCTTGCCACATGGAAGACATTGAGGAGACCTTCCCTTCCCCTTCCCTTCCCTTCCCTTCCCTTGCCTTCCCTTCCCCTGTCTCTTA